AAAACAATGACAAGCTCAGTGAGCACCGCTACTGCAATGGACCCTTATGTTCGGATTATGCTTTTCATGAATAAGCACATGCATGTTACATATATGTATGTCCAATGTTGGGGTTGAATTCGAACTGAAACGGACCCCCTCATCCGGGAAATCGGTTTCGGCTTCGTGTTTGCATCGCTCGTGCGGGCAAAGCGAAGTTGCGTGGGCGGGCGAAAACAATGAACCCGCCGTGGCTGGGGCGAAACTGAACTAACTCAATGACTCGACGCCATCCGGCTGGCCGGTGGTTGTTCGGGGATGTCCCGCCGGAGTCCCGTTGTGCCCCGCGGCGCGGTGTCCCGTAGTGTCCCGTGGCATGCCCGTGGCGTCTTGTGTGGTTGTTTGTGAGGTCGATGGTGAGATCGCTAGTCAGGTCGACTGTGAGATCGATAGAATATTAAATCGATTGATAGACGGATATCGATAGTTAGATCGATCGTGGGATCGATAAATGGATAAAAGGCGAAATCGACAAACGATTGGCCAAACAGGTGTTTCGTAGTGCCCTGCTGGTTTCCGCCGAATCTGATCCGACCCCAACTGCACACCGAAAGATACCCCCCACCACACTCCTTATCATTCGACGGGTGGTCGCATAGGTGTACGTAGGTATACGGTATATGTACCTCATACGTGTGTTGAATGAGTTGTGGGTCCTCACCTTTTCGGGCTTCTTTCGGCTCCCATCGAGAGGGGCCCCACATAGCCTGGTAAGTAATGCCTCAGGACAGCCCAGGAAGACGTTCTTTGTCTTTGCGACGCGCGCGCGCGCTGAGCGGTCGTGGCGCCGCGCACCGGAGCCCAACGCCTTGAGAGGCGGTGCCCAGCTGAGGCGGCCCAGGAAGGCCCCAAGCTGGCCCAAATGAGAACCCAGGATGGCCTCATCGGGAGCCCGTCGACGGCTCGGGCCGCGCAAGAGACCTCCCAAAACGACGGCCCCAAGACAGGAAGAAGATCCCCAACACGGCCCGGACCCCCAGGCTGCCCCACAGGAGCCCAAGGGATGATGGGAACAACAGCCGAGGAAAACACCCAAAACGAGAGGGGAAGCCTCAGGACACGAGGTGTCACATGTTGCGGCCCCTTGTGCGCCCCCCGAACGGTCACCAACGTGCGGGGCTGTACCCTTGGGAAGGTTGCCGGCTGCCCATCTTTACTATGCGGTCTGACTGTAAGAGGCGATGCCGTCCAACAAACCCAACTACCGCGTGTCGTTGCTGGGCGCAGACTTGAGACAAGCCAACACGCTTCGGCGGGCACGCGTTGTCACGGCGTGGCTGCGCGGCGCGCTTGCGCGGCGCGGGGGATGTTGCGTAAACGACAGAGCCGCGCACGGCGTTCCCGGCACTTCACGGAGGTGCCGGGCCAGCCGCAAACATCGAAGGGAGAGCGGCGGCGGTCATGCGGAAACCGCGGATATTTACCTGAGCACCATGGCTCAAGGTTGTCACTAGGGAGTGGCCCTTGAGTTGATTGTAAGTCTACACCCCAGCCCAGCCGCACCAGCGTGTGGCTTCGTGATTTCATCCCCTCCGGTGCCTGCTCAGCGCCCATGACGGCATGGAGTGGCCCAGGGCGCGCTGGCGGTGGCCAGGGCGCGGTGTGGCCCGCCAGCCATCCCGCCAATGGGGCACATGCCGGCTCCTCGCGGTCCTCATGGCACTCCGCGGAGTGGAGGAAGGACCCCGATGGCCGCTGGCATTGGATCGGTCAGGCTCCGGGCAGCGCTCCGCCCCGGGCCAGGCAGTGAACGTGCAAGGGGTGTGGGACCTCATGCACGACCAAGAGCGCCTGCGGCACGTGCGGCATGAAGCGCAGCTATGCGGAGGTGGCGTCACCGCCAGATGCTGCGCTGGGCCAGGGAGGAGGTCGTCCCCAGTCAGGGGTGACTACGACGACGACTTCCCCTCCTCCTCCTCCCTCGGCTGGGCAGTCCACGCGGGATCAGCTCACGGCCATCACCAACAAGCTGGCCGAGGCTCAGAAGGAGGTCACCAACCAACCTTCGCCTGCAACGACTACGCGGGCGCCCGGAGACGTCAAGGAGCTGCAGGGGGTCATCAAGCAGCTCGAGGCCACCTTGACGTCGATCCCCGAGTCCGAGGGCGAGCTCCGGGCCACCATCGAGGCTCGCATCAAGGACAAAAAGGACGAGCTGGCGGCGGGGAAGCCCGTCGGCGCTCGCCTCGACCAGGCCCGGGCGGCCCTGCAGCGCGCCCAAGGCCGGCAGCGGGACGCGCAGGCCGCTATCGAGGCCGCCGTGGCACTCAAAGCTGTGGCCGACGCGGAGGTCGCGAAGCATGCCTCCGAGGTGCACGAGCTGGAGGCCAGCCTTGCGGCGCCCCCGAGTGCCGTGACCGAGGCTCCGATGCAGCACGTGCAGAAGATGCTGGCGGGCATGATCGACGAGCTCAGGCAGGACCCGCACGTGGACCCTGCCCACATCGAGTCGGCGACCGACCACTGCCAGAGGCTGGTCGACGGCTTCGCGACGACGCTGGCCGAGGCCAGCAAACACAGACAGCGCATGGACGTGCTCGCGGCGGACGAGGAGAGGGGCGCCCCCTCCACGCGGCGGTGCGGAAAGCAGTCACTCGGCCCCCCTGCTACGACGGTGCTCTTGCGGACCACCGGCAAGCAGCCTGCCAAGACGAAGTCGCTCCCCGACTTCTTCAAGGTGGGGGTCAAGAAGTCCATCAGCAAGACCGGCACGCTGCCCTTCCAGAAGGGGGTCTCCCGGTTGTGCGAGTAGCCCGGCCGCATGACGAGTCTAGTGCGTCCACACGCGCACCTGACTCGAGCTCCGAGTGTGGATCGGTACCTGAACGAGTACATGACCATGATGCTGCAGCTGTGTCTTGGCGCAGCTGCGCCCCAGGTTCTGCTTTGGCTGGACCTGCCCACGGGGAAGAAGGCCCGCTGAGCCCTCCATCCTCCTCTTCCTCTTCTACTCCTTCTCCTACGCTGCGTGCTCCCAGTCCGTCTTCGGCGACGCTGGGGACAGTTGCGGAGCACAGTGGCATTGACGTGAATGCTGGCCCTAGCCCGGCAATGGGTCTGAACGACCTTGGCCCCGACACCCTGGTCGTCGCCACGGCCAACGTCCGGACGCTGCGGCCTCAGGAAAGCGACGCTTCCATCGCCAAGGTGGCCGGCGTCTCTCTCTTAGGCAAGGTGTCGGTTCTTGAGGAGCAGTTTGAGAGCGCCGGCATCGACATCGTGGGTATTCAGGAGGGCCGTGCCCGCCGTAGTGACATTGCCAGCGGCACCCATTACACTCGCTATATTGGTGCTGCTGACGATGATGGCGACTATGGGTGCGAGATCTGGCTCCGCAAGGGGGCCAAATTCAAGCTGCAGGCTCACGAGGTGGTGTCCCCGAGGTTATGCTGGTTGGTTGCATCCCATCCTCGCGCTGGCCGCGTCCTCGTCGTGTCAGGGCACGCTCCACACAGTTTACGTCCTGCTGCGGAGCGCGACGGCTTCTGGGACCTGGTGCTCCAGAAGGTCGACATGCTCACCGCCAAGCACCGCCAGGCGCAGCGATTCGTGCTGCTCGATGCCAATGCTCGTTGTGCCGAGTCGCTCCCGCACATCGGCGCCCACGACGCTGGCGTTGAGAACGACAACGGTGCGGCGATGCTCGCATTCCTGGATCACTGCGGGCTCCGTGCTGACAATAGCTTCCATCCGTGCGGATACACGTGGAGGTCTGGCCACGGTAGGACTCATCGCATTGATTACGTATGCGCTGATGTCACCCGACCCCTTAGCGAAGTGCGAGCCTACATACCCCAAGACGTGACGCTTTCCCTCACCACTGGTGAGGACCATCGTTGCGTGGTTGCCACCTACACGCTGGACAAACTGCAGCGACAGCCTTCTGGGTCCAAAGCTTTCCGCTTGAACAAGTGGAAGCTTTCTGACGTTGGCTGCGTCGCGTCTGTCTGTGAGCAGCTTCGCTGGTACCAGCCCCCGCTGCAGGCCACAATAGACGAGAAGGTCACGCATGTCGTCGAGGCCGCGCAGCGGGCTGCCCGGCGAGGCTTGGGCCCCATGCGAGATTGCCCTCGGAAGACATGGATTCGTGGCCCGACCTGGGAGACGATCAAAGCGCTGAAGTTGTGCCGCTCTCTCGGCTTTCTCGCGGTGCAGCGTCGCAATTGCGCTCGCCTCGCTCAGGCTTGGCATGCGTGGAAGGGCCTCTGCCGGCGCTGTTTTACACCTGGCGCCCCTGCCCCAGCACTTGGGTGGGGAGCGGTCGGCATCCAACCCCACGCTCGGAGGTGCTACTGGAGCTGGAACAAGTTGTGGGCCATCACGCAGAGGCTCGGCATGCAGCTCGGCTTCATCATCCACCGACACCTTTCGAGCGACAAGGTTGCATTCTTGGAGGCGCGTGCTGCCGAGGCTCAGCGCTGCGCCCACATGCGTGACTGGAGGGGGACGTTCGGCATTGTGAGGTCCTTCAGCGGCAAATCAGCGGCTGCGGTGCCCTCCCCCGTCCTCAACAAGAAGGGCGTTCTCACTTCCAGCGAGGAGGAACGACAGATGCGGTGGCTCGAGCACTTTCAGGACGTCTTCAAAGGAGCCCGCGTCACCGCTGCAGACCTCCAGGCGCTTCCGCATGACGCGCCGCTCCTGGGTGACCTGTCCATGACTGTGGATGACACGTGCGCCGCGTGGCACCGGCTCGGCGCCAACAAGGGTGTCGGGTGCGATGGGTTGCCCGCCGAGTTTTGGAAAGCGACCGCTGCCGTTACGGCGCCGGTTGCGACGATGCTGTACAATGAGGTGCTTCAGGCGGAGGTCTGGCCGGTGGCGTGGACTGGCGGCAGGCTCCAGGAGGTCTTTAAGCAGAAGGGCAGCCGTGCCAATTGCGACGATTACCGCGGCATTATTTTAGAAGATCATCTGGGCAAAGGGTTGAAGCAACATCTATCGCAGCATGTGTTTCCTCAGTATGCGGCTCACCAGCCTGACGCTCAACACGGGGCCGTGGGTGGCCGAAGCACTGATTTCGCGTCGCATTTGGTCGTCGAGATCTTGGCATACGCTGCCCGGACCTCCATGTGCGTGTTCATCATGTTTCTCGATCTCGTGAAAGCATTTGACCGCGTCATCCGTGAGATCACCTTGGGATGGCCGGCCGGAGTGTCCGATGGGGAGGCCTACCTGATGGGCCTCGGCCTAGGCCGTGACCAGGCGCAGTGGATTGCAGCATTCGTGTCCGTGCACGGCCCGCTCCTCGAGAAGTGGGGGGTCTCACCGAAAGTGATCCGCCTTCTGAAAAACATGCACGTGCAGTCCTGGTTTAGCGTAGGCGACCTCGATACTGCCATCGCGGTGCGTTTGGGAGGAAGGCAGGGCTGTAAGTACGGCGCCTGTCTTTTCAATTCGACTTTCAGTGTGGCCCTCCAGATGATTCACGACCTCGTCGTGGACGCCGGCTTCGCTCTCCAGCTCCCGTGCGATAGTGCGCCTGTGTGGGCGAAATCCAGGCCTGCAGATGGCGTGCCCATGCAGGATGTGGTCGACGTCGCATTTGTCGACGACACGGTTTTAATGTTGCTGGCTGTGTCCGCCAAGGTGCTGGACCGATCAATCGATGGTCTGTTGGGCTTTGTTCTTCGCTTTTACCGCGTGCTGAATTTAGAAATCAATTTTCAGCTAGGAAAAACCGAAGCATTTTTGAAGTATAGGGGGCATGGGGCTGTGAAGCACACCCGGGCCAGGCGGCGAGCGCCAGGAGGACCTCTGTGCATCCAGCTTCCCAGCACCGATGACGTTTTGCACGTTGTCCCCCTCTATAAACATCTAGGTTGCGAGCTTGCATTGTCGGGCTCGTTGATTCCTTTGGGGCAGAGTCGCCGCAAGAAGGCCCTGGCCGCGTACGCGCCTCTTGCGATGAAACTTTTTGGGTCCCAGCAGGTTGATTACAGCTTGAAGTGCTGGATGTTCACGACTCTTGTGATGTCCAGGTTGTTGTTTAACCTGCACATATTTGTACCCACTGCTCCATTTCTTTCTCTCCTCAACGACGTATATATGCGAGGCTACCGCAGGATGCTTGGGGCCCCTCGTTTTGGCCCCGGCGCCGGGAGCGACCTCAGCTTCCGCAGTGTGCACCGAATCCCTTCCATCGATTGTGTGCTGGCGCGTGCCAGGCTTACCTACCTAGGTCGCCTTGTCCGCGCTCGCCCTCCGTCGCTGTCAGCTGTACTCCGGCAGAGGCCAGAGCGCAACGGCATGCCGCAGCTTTCCGCGTGGCTCCAGCTGGTGATTCAGGACCAAAGGCGCCTCCACCAGAGCGTCGCCCTGTGTTCTAACCTGCCCGATCCCGCAGAGGATCCAGAGGCGTGGTGCAAGCTCATATGCGACGAGCCGCTCAAATGGAAGCAATTTGTAGCCCTCCTCCACTTTTAGGATTCAATTTGTGACAAAGTTCTACACCAGCGTGTGGAACCCATCTGTCGACCCTTCGCCTGCTCGGACTGCTCGGTGGCGTTTGCCTCGGAGCGCCAGCTGGCCCAGCATAGGCGCATCAAGCACGGTGTGCGATGCGAGCAGCGTTTCTTCGCACCTGCGTCGGCTACGTGCATGGTGTGTGGCACGACCTTCGGCGCTCGCCTTGGTCTTATCGCCCATTTGTCCGATAAAAGGCGGACGAAGTGCTGGCACGCCATGCTGCAGGAGCCTGCAAAGTACCCGAGGCTTAGCAGCAATGTATGTGCCGAGCTGGACGCGAAAGACCGGGCTGAGCGAACTGCTGCCCAGCGCCTCGGCCACTCCCACGTTCTTGCGAAAGGGGGCTGCACGAGACGCGACGGCACTGCGGTGGGGCGGCCTTCCGCGTAGCCACCGTTGTGTTGTAATCTTCCGAATTCGTTTGTGCTGTATTGTGACGCTTCGCGCAACCCTTGCTAAATAAAAAAAAAATGAGCACCATGCCCCCCCGGGCCTCGCGCTGCTGATGCAGAGCCAGCCAGCCCTCTGGGGCTCGCGCCAAAACATTCCCTGCTGGGCGCAATGCCCAGCGGGGCTCTTGCCGCTGGCACAATGCCCCTCCAGAGCCCGTACCATGGGGCTCGCGCCATGGGCGCAGGGCCCACGGGGCTCGTGCCAGGTTGTCTCCGCGGCGCGAAACCCTCCGGGGCTCGCGCTCCAACGCAGTGCGCCCCGGGTTCGTGGTGCAGACGCAGAACCCTGCAAGGCTCGCGCCGAAACGCTCCCTCGGCGCAGTTCCCAAGGGGGCTCCTCTGCGCGGTGCCCTCCAGGGCTTGTGCCAGATCCCTTTCACGGCGCAGAGCCCGCCAGGGCGCGTGACTCGGGCGCAGAGCCCGCCAGGGCTAGTGCCCAATTGTGTCCGCGGCGCTAACCCCCCCCCCGCGCTTGCGGCTCGCGACCCCAGTGGGCCCCGCGTGGTCATTTTGACTTGGCATAGGCCCTGGTGGGCACAGTGCCTGTGGCGTAGGGCCCACCCGGACTCGCGCCACAGGCGCTGTGCCCACCAAGGTTCCTGCCCAGTCAAAATGACCACGCGGGGCCCACCAGGGCGCGAGCCGCAAGCGCGGGGCCCGCGGGCCCATGAGGCCCGCCAGAGCAGAAGTCCTGACCAGGGACCGAGCAGCCGAAAAGGCGACGAGCCGCCCCCCCCCGCAGCCCAGACCGCGCAGCCCCGCCCGAGCCGCTCCGAGGAGCTTGCCCCCCGCCAAGCACGCCCCGCCCGCCCAAGACGCGCACCTGGGCATACCCCGCCCGAGGCCCCGCCCCTCCCCGCGCGCACGCGCCCGAGGCGCTCGGCCCAAGGCCCCGCGCACAAGCCAAGGGCCCCCCGCCGCCCAGCGCCCGAACGCCCCAAGCACCACGCCCAGGCCACCGCCCCCGCCCAAAACGCCCAGCTGGAGCCTCCCAGAACGCTCCCTGGAGGCCCAAAAGAGTGCCTCAAGAGGCTCCCGAGGCGCCTGCTCCTCCTCCTCCTCCTTCTCCTTTGTCCCTCCTCCTCATCTTCTTCCTCCCCGAAGTGTTCCCAGAAGGGTTCCCACAACGGCTAGGTTGACTCACAGTCCGACAGCGTGGCCAAGCTCTGGCCACAACGTTCGGCCGCACAGGCGCTTCCAAAAGGCAGGGGGCAGCAGAGATTCGCCGTAGGCGTCTTCGATCTGCCGTCACCCACGGCGTACCAAACTTCAGGTAATTGTCTGTCCTTTTTAACCAATCCCAGTGGGCTTTCGGCCGATCCCGCCGGCCACCTGGAAAGCCCGGGAGAATCGCCCAACACACATATCCCGTTGCCCAAATCGCCGCTAAGACGGCCAATATGGCCGTCAAGCTGGCCTACGATGGCCACCAAGATGACCTCAAGATCACCCAAGACGGCCCGAGAGGCTTCCAAGCCGGCTCAAGAGGCATCCGAGAGGACCTCCAGAAGGCCCGAAGAGACCCACGTCGTGCATTTGCCATCGGATGCTCAAGGGTTTCGGCGTTTGCTCACTTCCGGCTCTCCGAGGGCCGCAAGACGGCCCAGGAACAGGAGACCACCGAGATGGCCCCCAAACCGCCCAAGCGGTCTCCGAGGTAGACCCCATGACGGCCCAGGAGACCCCCAAGACGCCCAGGATGGTCTCCACGACGGCCCTGAAGCGCCCCAAGGGGGCAGAGGCCCAGAAGACGGCTTCCGACGGGCCAGGAGACGGCCCAAGGACCTCCCAAGGAGCCCCCAAAGGCCCCCAAGAGGCCCAAGGAAGCCCCCAAGAGGCCCCCAGGAGCCACAAGAGTGCCTCAAGAGGCTCCCACCAAGAGGCCTCCTCCATTTTCCTGCCTCTCTTCGTCGTCTTCTTCTTCTTCTTCTTCCTCCCCCAAGTGTTCCCAGAAGGGTCTCCACAATGGCTGGGGGAACACGTAGTCCGATAGCTTGGCCGATATCTGGCCGCAGCGTTCGGCCGCACAGGCGCTTCCAAAAGGCAGGGGACGGCGGTGATTCGCCGCAGGCGTCTTCGATCCGCCGACCACTGCGGCTTGCCACAAAGAGTGCGCAGCGTGCTGAACTTTTGAGTGGTTTGGGCTTTTCTTGAGGCCCCCAATGGGGTCTCGGCCCAACCCGCCAGCCAACTGGAAGGTTGTAGGAAAGACGGGAAACTCGCCTCCAAGACGGCTAAGATGGTCCCAAGAGAGGCCAACATGGCCCCAACATGTTTCCAAAACGGGACGAGATGTACCCGAGACGGCCCAAGATGGTCCAAGGATGGCCCAAGACGACTGGAGGGGGCCCCAAGAGGGTTCCAAGCCGGCCAGAGAGGCCTCCAAGAAGATCACCAGGAAGGCCCGAATAGGCCAAAGTCTTTGATGCTCTTCGGGTTTCCGACAGATTTCAGCATTTGCGCCTTTTCGGCTTTCCGATGGCCCAAGACGGCCCAAGAGGCCACCAAGAGAACCGCTGACGGCCCGAGAGGTCCCCGAGCCGGCCTCAGGAGTGCCCGATGACGGCCCAAGAGACCTTCAAAACGCCCAGGATGGTCTGCAAAGTCGGAAGCGCCCCAAGGGGGCCCCAAGTCGACCCAGAGAGGCTTCCAAGACGGCTATCAAACGCGCCAAACGGGCCAGGAACGCCCAAGACGAGCGGAAATTGCCCAATGCCCGCCTCCAAGAAGCCCAAGGCCTCCAAGGGGCCTCCAAAAGGCCCCGCAAAAAGCGCCTAGGAGGCCACAAGAGTGGCCCAAAAGCTCCCAAAAGGCATCCTACTCCCTCTCCTTGTGCCGCCTTCTCGTCCTCTTTCTCTTCCCTCCCCAAGTGTTCCCCGAAAGGTTCCCACAATGGCTCGGAGAACACACAGTCCAAGTTGGGTGGCCAAGCTGTGGCCACAACGTCCGGCCACAAAGGCGCTTCCAAAGGCTGGGAGCGGCAATGATTCGCCGTAGTCGTATTCGATCCGCCACCCCCTGTGGCTTGCCACAGTGGCGCATGGCATGCCAGATTTGTGAACAGTTCTGGCCACTCGGAAAAAGTACAGTCCATCGGCCTCTCCTCCCAAGACGACCCCAAGATGGCGTCAAAGCGCGCCAAGATGGCCTCTGAGACGGCTAAATTGGCCCGAGATGGCCTCCAAAACGGTCCCAAAAGACTTCCAAGACGGAAAACAAGGCCCCAAGCCGGCCCAAGATACCATCCAGACGCTCCAAGAGGCCCCCAAGACTCCCTAAGAGGGCTCCAAGAAGACCTCCAGGAGGCCAACATCACTGACTTCCCTTCAGTTGTTGATTGAGAAAAGGATTATGGGCTTTTCGGGGCTCCGACGCTCCAAGACGACCCTAGAAGCCCCCAAGATCGCCCCATGGCGGCCAAAGAGGCCCTCAAGCTGCCCGCAAGACGACCCAAGAAAGCTCCAAGACGATAGACCTCCAAGACGGCCCTAAAGCAACCCACGACTGCCCAGAGAGGGCTCCAAGACGGCCTCCGAAGGCCAAGAGATCCTAGTCCCCGAGGCCCCCAGGAGGCCCCTGGAGGCTGCTAAGAGGCCCCAGTCAGGATGCCCACAAGTTGTCCCTCAGAGGCCTCCACGAGGCTCCCAGGAAGCCCCCAGGAGGCCCCAAGAGGGCCTCCTTAGGCCTCATCTTCTTCTTGTTATATGTTTATTATTATGTTTCTTCTTCTTCTTCCTCCTCCTCCTCCTCCTCCTCCTCCCTCTGCTCCTCCGCTCTCTTCGTCTCCCAAGTGTTCCTGCAAGGGGTTCCACAACGGCTGGGGGAACAGATTGTCCAATAGCTTGGCCAAGCTTCGGCCCAACGTTTGGCCGCGTGGGCGTTTCCAACAGGCAGGGGGTGGCGGTGATTCGCCGTAGGCGTCTTCGATGATAAAGAGGAAGTTGGAAGAGGAAGAGGAGTCGGACAATGATACTACGGAAGCAGGATAACGAGGAGGATGCAATGGTGTTCTATCAGCGTGGTGGGATGCATCGCGGCGGGGGGGGGGGGTTACGCACTGGACGTGGCGGAATGGCGTGGGGTGTTGTTCCGGTGCACGTGGGGGAGCCAGAACGGGCTGCAGAACGGGGCGGCTTGGGGGGAGGTCCTGTTCACAAGTAGAGATGACGGGGAAAAGGAGGACGAGGAGACGTAACAGGAATGGGAGGAGGGGGGGGAGGGGGAGAACGAGGCGTGCCCCCTCCTGCTGGGCCCAATTTGAGGCCGCTCAAGGGTCCCTCTTGGGCCGTCTTGGGGGCCTCTTGGGCCGTCCTGGGGGGCCTCTCGAGTCATCCTGGGGCTCCCGAGGAGGCCTCTGACGCTGCCTTGGGGGCTTCTTGACCGAGAAAGGGATGGATGTTTTGCTTTTGTCTCCCCAGGGCAGCGACGCGCAGTGGGATCACTGTGGCAGTGGAAAGGGTGGGAGACACAATGCAACGGAGGTAGAGGACGAAGTAGGGGCTGACTCACCTCAAAGCTGGGCCGGTGCGAGGGACAGACACGGCAACAAGAGAGAAAACCAACGGGGGCGGAGGTAGAGGAGAAAGTAGGCATTGACCTCAAAGCCGGGTCGGTGCGAGGGACAAATATGGCAACAACAAAAAAAAGAGGGGAGAACGACCCCTGCCAGGACTCCGCCCCCGCCGGGTGCGAGGGGCAACGTTCAGGGGGGACCGGCTCTCAGGGGGGGGGATTGGCGGCGCGCGCAGGGAGGTAGGGGGAGGGGGAGGGGGAGGGGGAGGGGGAGGGGGACGGGGATGAGGAGGAGGTAGAGGAGGAGGAGGAGGGAGGAGGAGGAGGAGGAGGAGGAGGAGGAGGAAGAGAGGAGGAGGAAGGGAGGAGAAGGAGAGGAGGAAGCAGAGCAGAGGACACCACGCACCGCGGGCCACGGCCGGGGGCGAGCTGCCGCGGACCCGCGCGCCTGCACGTGCAGGACGTGGCCGTGCCCTGCACGGCGGGGGGGAGGGGGGGACGACGACGACGACGACGACGACGACGACGACGACGACGACGACGACGACGACGACGACGACGACGACGAGGACGAGGACGACGACGACGAGGACGAGGACGAGGACGAGGACGAGGACGAGGACGAGGACGAGGACGAGGACGACCACGACGACGACGACGACGACGACGACGACGACGACGACGACGACGACGACGACGACGACGACGACGACGACGACGACGACGACGGCGGCGGCGGCGGCGGCGACGACGACGACGACGACGACGACGACGACGACGACGACTACCGCCGCATCGCTGTTGCATCGGCGATGCATCGGCGATGCACCAGCGACGTCGGCGATGCATCGGCGACGCTGGCGTGGAGAAAGTCGGGCTGCACATCGAGCCGCATCGCCGATGCATCAGCGACGCGGCGGAATCCTCCAACCCCGTCTGCTCTGACCCCAACCGGGCGGCCTAGATGCGAGGCGGGTATTTATCCATACTTATCCACCGCCTGGGAACCGACGTCCTGGTGCTCCAGCGGGCGGTGGATATGGATATGTTTTGCCCCTGGGGGCCCGACTCTCTCTCTCTCTCTCTCTCTCTATATATATATATATATAGATTTATAGATATATAGATATATTCCGCGAGCATTGATCCCCCAGGCGGTTGGTTACAATCGGACCTAGGACAGAAGGACATCCATCAAGAACATGCGACCCTCCGCAGGCCAGAACAAAGAGCATTCGAGGGTGCCCTCCCACAGGATGCGCCAGAGCAGTCGATGGTGCCCTCCCCCCTCTCCGAGGTGCCCTCCCCCAAGATGGATAAATCCCCGCCTCGGACTGGACTTCCGCTTTTCCAGGCGGGGGCCCGCCTCCGCGGTCAGGATGGGGAACAACAGCCCGTCCGCCGCCTTGCGCGGGCTGCCGGGGGCGAGGATGTCGCTGTAGCCTGGCGCCTCGAGAGGGTGGGAGCCCCCAGGGCGCTTTTTTCCCCCTTCGGTTGCGCCTCCCCCCCCCCGCTTTCTGCTGCTCCTCCCCTCCCTTTCTGCTCCTCAGGCTCCTCAGGCTCCTTCTTCTCCTCCTCCTCCTCCTCCTCCTGCTCCTGCTCCTGCTCCTGCTCCTCCTCCTCCTGTTCCTGCTCCTGATCATGCTCCTGCTCCTCCTGCTCCTGCTCTTGCTCCTGCTCCTGCTCCTCCTCCTCCTCCTCCTCCTTTTCCTCCTCCTCCTATCCCTACACCCCCAACTCCCCTTATTTCTCATCCTCCTGCGCCTTCTCGCTCTGCTTCTCGCGCTTCTCCTCCCCACCCCCCCCACGTCTGCTCTGACTTTGCTTAGGCTGACTGCGAGTCATTACCTACAACCTCACCACCACCACAAACAACTACCGAAGCACACTACTTCAGCATAATCCCTCGCCTAAGCCGTACTACACCTACCTCCTCCCTCCTCCACTGCACTCCTCCTCCCCCTTCCCCCTCCTCCCCTCCCCATCCTCTCCTCCTTCTCACTTCCACTACACCTACTCCCTCCCCCTCCCCCTCCACCTCCGGCAGCGGAGCACCGAGTGGCCCCCTTCGAGCTCGACGTCGTGCTCGCCCTCCCCGTGTTCACAGTTGGCTTCAGCTCGTCCGAACCCTCGGGGATCCACTTCTTCTGTCCTCTCGCGCTCCCTGCCGCATTTCGCCCACGGCCCGCGCTGGATCCAGAGGGAGGGGGAGGGGGGGGGCGGAATCGGGGAGGCCATCTCCTCTGTCCCTCCACGGTCCCTCGAGACTGTGCCGCGGTAGCCTGGCAAATTACTGGATTGGCCCCACCCCCCTGCTTGCCGTTGCTCAGACGTCCATTTCCCGTGCAGTTTTCGGTTTCGTGCGCGTTTTTTTTGGCTCGATGGTCCAGGATGGTCCTCGATGTTTCCCGCCGAGAAAACATGCACACGTCCGAGCGATGCCAAGCCTGCAGTCAACCCGGGAAATACGGACGCATGATGAGGATACAAAGGCCTTGGAAGGCCATGCCGACACTTTGCGAGCAGGGCGCGACCAGCGAAAGCGGCAAAGGGTGGGCCGAAGGGGAAGGATGCAAGGGTAACCTTGGGGGAAAAACACACATTAATTAAACTGTTGCAGGTTCGCGCGGATTTCTGAGATCTGAGCTAGACCCCCCTACCTGGCGCGCGGAGCGCGCCAGGGGCGGCGCCGGAAGCGCCGCCAAGGCGGCCCCAGCGCGGATCCAAGAAACCCGCGCGGAGCGCCAAGAGTTTATGTTTAGGGCGGTTGTTCTCCTTCGTCGAGAAGGGGAAGGATGCCAGGGTAACCTTGGAAAATCGCTCATCCTTGCTGTGCGGGTTGACTGTGCTCCTCAAATCGGGAGGCGCGGGCCCGCAGATCTCGAGGTCGCCCCCTCCCGCTCCCCGCCCGCGCCCCTCCCGCTCGCCAGGCCGCCGCGAGCGCGGCACCGGGGGGGGGGCAGAGGACGAGGAGGACGAGGAGGAGGAGGACGAGGAGGAGGAGGAGGAGGACGAGGAGGAGGAGGAGGAGGAGGAGGAGGAGGAGGAGGAGGAGGACGAGGAGGACGAGGAGGACGAGGAGGACGAGGAGGACGAGAAGGACGAGGAGGACGAGGAGGACGAGGGGCAGAGGACGAGGAGGAGGAGGACGAGGAGGAGGAGGAGAAAGTGGAGGACCAGGTAAACACAAGACGCGTCAACGATGTTGTGGAATTCGCTGCCCAACGGCCAGGGCTGTGCTTCCGGTAACTGGGTAACTGGTTAACAGTATAAACAGTATTTCTAGTTCGCGCGCGCGGGGCGGCCCCTGGGGGTCCCCCGGCGAAAAGTACCCCGACCAACGCCCGGTCGCCGCCCGACCGCCGCCCGACCAAGTCTACTCAGAGATGGTTTTCCTTTTGGGTGCGGCCTCTCAGGCTCCCCAGAGCGCGCTCAGAGTGCCCCAAGAGGCCCCCAAGACTGCCCAAGAGGCCCCCGAGACGCCCCAAAGTCCCCAGGGTCCCCCCCGCTCGAAGACGCGTAGAAGACCCCCAATAAAAACCACAAGACGGCCCAAAAAGGCCCCCCAAGACAAGCCAAGGCGGCTCCAAGACGCCCAAGAGGCCTTCCAAGAGGCCGCCGAAGAGAGCACCAAGAGAGGCCAAAATCGTTGATTCTTGGTTTTTTTCGATTGTTTTTGTGTCTGCTTTGTCCGGCTTCCGGACGCTCAAGACGGCCCAAGAGGCCCCGAAGACGCTCCAAGACGGCCCACGAAGCTCCCAAGACGGCGCCGAAACGACCCAAGAGAGCCATCAAGACGGCCCAAGTGCCGCCCAAGACGGACCAAGAGGCCCCAAGACGGGCCCAAGAGGGACTCAGGAGGGATACCGAGAACTCAAAAATGGAGCCCTCCGTCCCAGAAGGCGCCCAGGAGGTCCCAAAGAGGCCCCAAGAGGCCTCCAAGAGGCCCCAAGATGTCGCCAAGAGGCCCCAGGAGACTCCAAGGAGGCCCAAAAGAAGCCCCAGAAGGCTTCAAACATGTCTCCCAGGCGCCCCCGAACGGCCTCTCAACAGACCCCAAGAGGCCCCCCAAAGAAGCATCTTGACGACGACTCCATTTCGCCCCATCGAGAGACGACCCCCAGGGAACTGCTTCACCATCAAAACTCCCCACGCAACGCGTCCGAACGACACCCGCCCCCAAGAGCGCAACATGGGCAACGAACACACAGACAAAAACCAGCGATGCCATATCACGGGCCGGCGGAATGAGCGAAGCGATTCAATAAACCCTTCCCCCAAGCTCCCTCACCATAAGCCCCTACAACGGTTCATTTCCACAGAGGGACCTGCCTCGTTGGACGACAACCGTTTGAAAACCCTGAAGCATGCCGAAACATTATTCTCGGTATTCCGACGCCAAAGATGAACTTGAATGTTGCACCTTGACAATCCTGAATCGTGCCAGAACGCCATTTCTAGGACCTCAACTCCGCGAATCATCGTACATGTTGCGCCCTCAAAACCGTGAATCATAACAACACACAATTTCTGGTACGTCGTTCATGGGAATCCGCGAAACTCTGGCACTTTGTTGACAAGAATGTGCGCGGCGCTGAAGCGAGAGCCACATGTTGAAAAGGAACCGCCCTCAATCCGTGAAGCTCTTGCATTTGTTAAAACAAAAAACGAATGTGCGGCGTACAAGCGAGAACCACATTTTGAAAAGGAACCGCCCTCAATCCGTGAAACTCTTGTAATTTGTTGAGCGAATGTGCGAGGTGCTAAGACGCTAAGGCGAGAGACACATTTTGAAAAGCACCCGCCCTTAATTCGCTAAACTCTTGCAATTTTGTGAAGCGAGTGTGCAAGGCGCTAAGGCGAGAGTCACATTTTGAAAACCACCCGCCCTCAATCCGCGAAGCTCTTGCAAGCTTTCAAAACGAATGAGCGCGGCGCTAAGGCGAGAACCACATTTTGAAAACCACCCGCCCTCAATCCGTGAAGCTCTTGCAAATGTTCAAAACGAATGTGCGCGGCGCTACGTAAGGCGAGAGCCACCTTTTGAAAACGACGCACCCTCCATCTGGTTGAATCTAGCCTGTTTTGTCGATTTTGGTCCGATTGCTAAGCTCAGGGGGGGGCGTCATCATAACATAAGTAGTTGGAGAAAAAGTCTCAAGCGAACGCCAGCCCACACCCCGCCCAATACAAAAATGGCCCTCGGGGTTTTTGGGGCGATGTGTATGCCTTGCGGCGGTGCGTTGTCGAAGGGGAAAAAATAGTTTAGAAGGGAAGAAAGAAAGGACTGGCTAGGAGGGAGCAAGCAGGAAAGAGAGGAGGAGGAGGAGGAGGAGGAGGAGGAGGAGGAGGGAGGCGGGGGGTGGAGGAGTAGGGGAGGAGCGAGGAGGAGGATGAGGAGGAGGAGGAGGAGTTCCCCTCCCTGTCATTCCCCTTCCCCCCCTTCGTGGTCTCGCTGTCCCTCTCCCCTCCCCTGCCTCCCCTGCCGCCCGCCCTCCGTCGCACCCTCCTCTTGCTGCTCTTGCTTCCCTCTCGGCCTGATTCTCCCACGTCGGCCTAGCCCCCTGGCCCATAGACAAGCGCGTTCCACTACTCGCAAACTAACTGCTCGCAAATGGCCAGGATACGCCGCGGAAATTCTTACGATCCTCTATATCGAGGCAGACCTTTGTTCTTCAGACGTTTGCGAATAGGCACTTTGCGAGTAATGGAACGCGCTCGATGAGCCCAGTCTTCTTCGGGCCCCCGACTGCGTCATCCTGCCGGTCCCTTCTCTTTTGGTTCCTTCCCCGCCTTATCCCTCCCCATGTCGTCCTCCCTCCGCTCCCCCTGTGGGTATGGGCGCGTGATGTTCGCTCACCACCTTATCATCCATAAGTTAAGCTCCTCCTTGCCACGACCCCTTAAGCGGAGGGTGAAGAGTGAATACACAGAGGGCATCGCCCCCCCTGCACTCTAAAGGCTTGCGACATCAGCTCTGCTTAAAATCAGCACGGGGCCTTCAGCGTCGCCGCCCTTGTGAATTACGTACCAATTATGCAAGACTGGCGATGTCGTCACGCACATGGCCGCCCTGGCTACGACAATCTCCGCCGCTCTGTGATGACACCCAGACCGTCGTGTCCCTGTCATACTGATCGGAAGCGTGTCACTAAGCATCCGCACCACCGTCACTAGATCGTTCTTTGCCACAAGCATCGTCGCGGTGGCCCTTGACGATGTCTCCGCACATCCAGTAGACATAATGAATTAAGCAACGATCCGCCACTCGCCCAATAGCATGCTCATCCAAGACCGCTTAGACGTAAGACTCGAAAGATCCCGAACCATCGCTGCACTCTGCGTGTGCGTGTGTGCTCGAACCATGTGGCCGATTCCGAAAACCCTGAACCCAGAAACGTTTCCGTCTCTTCGGAGGCCGAGCTTTGCTTCCGCCGGCTTCCGCCGGGCTTCCGCCGCTTTCTGCTGGCGGAAGCGGCCTTGTTTTACTTCCGCCGCCCTTCCGCCGAGGAAGAGATGACAACTCCTTCGACCCTCGAAAGCGAGGCCCTTTCCGGAGCGCCCCATGTGCTCTGCATGCATATTGCTCATTGCAGCCGACGCCAGACTATCCCTCTCTCCCTCGTGCTGCGCTGTGATTGCCAATGAGATCGCGCGCGTTTGCCCGCCTGCTCGTGGCACCGGCTTCTCGGGCTGGTTGTCGTCGAGCACCTTCCCCCCTCGCTCGGAATCGTGGCCCTCGCCGCCGCAGGCTCCAGCAGAAGGCCCTTCTCCACTACGCCACAAGACACCACGCCTCTACAGTCGAAACGCTGTCAGAAGGAACCTAAGAAACGACGCCCTTGTTTCCCCGATTGGGCCTGCCCGAGGGGTTCTTACTTGGTTAGAATTTGGTGCCTCCAGGACTTACTTTGCCCGTTCCCCAGAGATTCATCAGCTTCCCCGGGTTCCCCGCCCCCGGTGCCTCCGAGGCTTACGTTGCCCGTTTCCTGGAGGTTCCTCGGGTTCCCCCCCCGGTGCCTCCCGTTGTTACGTTGCCCGTTTCCCGGAGGTTTCTCGGGTTCCCCAAGTTCCCCGGGTCCCTCGGGTTCCCCGGGTTGTGCCTCGTATTCGTACTGTACCCGTTCCAAACAATGCCAAGCAATGCCAAGCAACGTATCCTCACTGTGCACGTTCCAAGCAATCCGAAACACTGTGCCCATGCAAACAGAAAATGTCCCCAATTTGGGGTTGCGCCGGGCTCCTTCCATAAGATATATAGAGAACCAAAGGACAACCTAAGACCAACTATAAAATAGTTCAGCAACGCTGAGTCGCTCCCCAACGAAAAGGGTTCCTTCTTCAGCGGCCCGACTGTACTCGCTCGTGGCTCTCGCTCCCGAGGGCTCCGACGGGATCCCTTCTTCACGCCGCTGCAAAACACTAGACAAAGCTCGCCATGAGTACCAGCAGTCCACGAAAGAAACCCTCGCCGCGCCGCACCCGAGAGACAAAGCCCACTTGTCCACACGCGCGCCAGACCAAGCAATCAACGCTTCCTCCGCCGAGGCCGCCTAACCGGAACCCACGGATAACAAAGCATCCCCCCTTAACCTTATCCACGGGATACAATGCGGCTCAATTGCCACAACAGGCAGGGCGGCCGAACTTGATTATCCCCTCCAGAGTTCCTATCGTAGCTCTGATCTTCATCTCATGCATAGCACCATTAAGAATCCTTAGTGTCATGGGTGTGAGGACGTCTCATGCGAAACGCAAAAGTTCGAGGCTCTTGGAAATCTTGAATACCGATCTTGAAGACCGATCTTGAAGACCGATCAAGACATCCTAACATCGATACCTCCAGGAGAGTGCTGCTTGTCCCCCCTGGACCACGAACTGCATGATCCCCAGGGGATTATTCTCACTGGCACAGGGCCACATTCAAGCAGGAACCGCGGTTATCTTCACGCCCTCGCGCGAGCCACGCCGCAGAGCAGGGCGGCTCCCAGGCCCAGACCGCGAAGCGCGGTGAACGATCGTCTTCGCGACCCCGAGCGTGGCCCAGCTCACGGCCAGAACCCGCCAGACTGGGTAGTCGAAGCCAATCTGGCGCCAATCTGGCAGGCCCAATCTGGCAAACGGGGGCAATCTGGCGAGGGGGCCCGCGCGAATCCAGTCTGGCGAATCACCCGAATCCTCCAGTCTGGCCGGGCCAGATTGGCCCTTGGGGCCCAATCCAATCTGACAGTCTGGCCTTCGACTACCCAGCCAGAGTCGGCATCCACGAAAAATAACGCGAGGCAGGGGTGCAAGAGCCTCGCGAGCCGATGCTGAAACGACTTCCGCGGCACGCGGCCACACGAGACGACAGAGAAGAGGCGCGGAGGCACGGCGGCCCCGATGCAGCACTGCATCTCCTGCTGGCGACTCGGCCTCTGAAGTGGAGGCTAAAGTTAAGTCGGGCGTGTCCCCCTACAGGGGGATTTTGGGCGAAACATAAAAAATACTCAAAAAATACTCCCGAATGCCCAAAAATACCCCAAACATAGTCCCCAGACTATTTTTAAACTGCTTTTGATGTTTCCCCCTGTAGAGGGACACGCCCGACTTAAGGTTAAAGGGCAAGCGCGCGCTGGACACCGAACCGCCCCCGTGACAGGGCTTCTCCCGAGCACCCTCCCGATCTATCCCTGCGAGCCGCCCCCTCCGAAGGGAGAGGTGGCCTGCCGCGGAGCCCCTGGAGGCGAAGGAGGAGGATAAGAGAAGGTAGAGGAGGAGGAGGAGGGAGGTAGAGGATGAAGAGGAGGAGGAGGAGGAGGAGGAGGAGGAGGAGGGAGGAGGAGGCGGGGGGAGCGGGAGGAGGAGGAGGAACGCGGATGAGCAGCCAGGAGGAGATAGGAGGAGAGTACGCAGGGAGACGAAGGAGGCCGGTGACCTACGACGGGAGGAGGAGGGGGAGGGCGGAGGAGGCGGCGTCGTCGTCGTTGTTGCCGCCGCCGCCGGTGCCGCCGCCGCCGTCGTCGTCGTCGTCGTCGCCGCCGCCACGGTGTCGGCTCGTTGTGCGCTGTGGCGTCGTCCTCCACCCCGCCTCTGCCATCCGTCTCTCTCTTCCGCCTCCACATACCCCCTCCGCCGCACGCCCACTCGTCCTCCTTCACCTCCTCCCCGCCGCACTCGCCTCCTCATACGCCCCGCCTCCTCGCGCCGCCTATACCCCCTCCGTCCTCCCTCCACCTCCCACCTCCACATCCTCCGTGCCTCCTCCTACTCCTCCTCCTCCTCCTCCTCCTCACTCCTCCTCCTCCTCCTCCTCCTCCTACTCCCTCCTCCTCTACTACTCCTCCTCATCCTCCGATACTCCGCTTAATCCGCCTACCCCGAATCACGCCGAAGGACGCTGCCTCCTAATACTCCTCCTCCCCCCTCCTCCCTTACCTCTCACCCTCCTCATCGTCTTCCCCCGCCGCGCCCACCCCCTGGCGCCTGGAGCTGCTCTCGGACCTCACGGAGGCGCGCCCCGCCTCGGACCGGTACAGGCCGTGCTGCACGGGTTCGTCGCAGTCCCCTGGCGCCCCCGGCTTCCCCCACTCGTCCTGCTCCCCCCCCCTCGCATCATTACAGTCGGAGCCTTGACCTAAGGAACCCTAAATATGTAACGAGGCCCCTATTTTCCATAAGTTGAACTTCGACTTCGTATCGAAAACCTAAAGAAAATCCAAGGCAAGCTGCGAGACGATTAAGGAACACGGACCCCTCCCCAACGAAAAGGGTTCCTTCTTCAGGGCCCCGACTGTAGAGGCCTCCTAGATGGGGTCCGAGTAGACGGGGTCGAAGGATCGCGCCGCATCGCCAATGCATCCGCGACGTCGGCGTGGGGAAAATCGGGCTCATCATCGAGCCGCATCGTTGATGCATCGGCGATGCGGTGCGAGCCTCCGACCCTATCTAGTCGGACCACATCTAGGAGGCCTACATCTTCCACTCGCATCAACCCTCCATATCTCGAGTAGGGGATCGACTACCGAATTGATTTACCCCAGAATTGATTTCTCGTCAAGTCATGCGTAGAATGTTCGTAGATCTATGAAAACCCTGCGCTTTTCTCATGGATCCTGCGCACAGATCAAACTTTCGGGTACAGCAATTCCTCAGTCGATCCCCTACGCGAGTGTAAAACCGTCTACCTCCTCCCCTCTCTTCCCCGCGCCTCCTTGCTCCACCCTCCCCGGTGGGACCGCGTAAGACTCGCTGCGCCGTCCAGAGCACTCTGAATGCCCTCGACCCTGGCGCAGAGGCCTCGGCCCTCGAGCTGCAGACCAGGGGCACTGCATGGCCTTCCTGGATCAAGGCGCTCCAGTAATCCAGGAGCCAAGCAGATCCACTTACAAAACGAGTCTCACGTGTGAAATGAGGGGGCCACACGCGAACCCTACCCCTACCCCCCCCGATTTCTGAGGGGGGGGGGGGGGTTCACCAGCGACTGAGGCACAAGGGGAGCGCCGCGTCTGAGCGGGCGAACTGCTGCAGAAAGACGGGCCGATGAATCCCTCGAAATCCCTGCAGGCCTCTGAAGGTCGCTGGAAACCTCCGCAACTTCAGCAATTTTTGAAACACAAAATCGAAACGCGGCAAGAAATTCAAATCTCGAGGCGAGGGAGGAGGACGATAACCAGAGTGATCCCAGGATGCGTCAACGATGCTGTGTTACAGTCTCCCGCCACAAGTCAAGTCCCTTCCTCAACAAGCCGATATTCTTTTCCACTGCGGGAAACGCCCCATTGAATGACGAACGCCTGGTTCTCCTGTCACTCAGGCGAGACCGCATTTTGTGAATGATCCGCCCTCCATCGTTAAAACTGAAAGAAGCGTGAACAGGTAGGATGAGACAACTCAGAGAAATGCCAATGTATAGCTCTGCTGTTCAAAAGATCTGCCCTCCATCCGTGTTCGTGTGAAATCACAAGAGATTTGAAACCGTGCTGGCATGCATCCTTGTAGCCGTTGAATGCGTTTACAACGAAGGCACGCGGCGCTGGGGCGAGAGCCG